TTCTACATGCTGAGGATTTAACAAGCAACAAGACACCAGATTCCCTGCTCTCATGGAACTTACGTTGTAGTAGAGGAGACAGATGATAAACAGATCAATGAATGCACAATTCCAGAGCTGTAGAAGATAACAGGATTGATAGTGATGGGTGGAGGTGGGGCAGTCTTAGATTTGGGTGGTTCAGGAAGGCTGCTCTAAGTGGAAAACTTTTCAGCTAAGACCCAGACTATGAGAAGAAATCTATTATGGGAAGATCCAGGGAAAGGATGTTCCAGGCAGAAGGAACAGCAAGTACAAAGGCCCTGGGGCAGGAATATGCTTGACCTTATTGAAGGACAGTTAAAAGGCCACCGTGGCTGAACCAGAGTGAGAAAAAGGGACAAAGACAGGAGAGACCAAAAGAGGGACAGCCAAGAATCAGACTGCATGGGGCCTCTTAGGTTAGGGAAAAGAACTTGGGAGACAGAAAGGTGCTGAAAGGGGTTCAGCAGGGATTTTAAACATGAACCTTTAACTCTGCTTTTCCCTTCTGGGGCTTTCTGCCCCAGGGCTCTTGTTTCCACATACACTTGAAGGTGTTTGAAATAGTGTTTAGTTATTCTTTTTTCCATTTTAATTTTTTTTTCAAAATTTTAATCAAAGCTGTATAGATGCACAGTTGAAAAAAATAAAATACTCTTACCAAGCTAATAATCAGTAATAGTACTTGTCCACCGACTCTTTCCTGAACCTGATTCCCACCATCCAGAGGCAGCTATTTTAGGTAGTTTTCCTCTATATTTCTACATATCTTGGTTATACTACTACTTCTCAGTTTTTCAGTCTTAGAAGTAATGTGTTAACTTGCTAATAGGAAAGATCCTATAGAACTATTTCCCAATTTGGAGATAAGCCTATATTCATCATTTTAATAACAACGTGGCTATTATTCACAGCTGATGTCATCTGTATATGAACCAAGAGCTTTTCCTGCACGGTCTCAGTTAATCTTCACAATAACCCTGTAAGGTACGTGTTGGTCAACATAACAATACTTGCACTTTATATATGACATTGGTTGTACCTGCAGAGCTATCCTGAGAGGTAAGCAGAACTGGCATTATTAACCCATTTTTCACAAGAACACATGGAGCTCAAAGTGATACAGTTCTGCCCATCACAGTGGGGGTGCAGTGGTTAACATAAAAGTCATCTTCCAGCCAAGATGGAAGGAGCTGGGGTTCCTGTGTGAAGGACATCATACATTTGGGTGTGTTTGTTACACCAGCTAGCATCGCTCTTACTAACGCAAGGCCTGGATTTGAATCCTAGCTCTGCCTCTTTAAGTCTGTGTGGCTTGGGGTAAGTTACCTTTCTGAGCCTTTGTTACCTCTTCTGAGAAATGGGTATGATGGCAGTACCTACCTACCTCAATAGGCAGTTGTAAGAATTAAAGGAAGTGATTTTTACATATTGTTTAGAATGGTGCCTGGTCCATAGTAAGTCCTATAGAAATTATCAAATAAATCAGAGGTAGAATATGAATGAGCCAAGACCCATATCTGGGGCCATGTGATGCAAGTTCAGTATCTGACCCCAAAGTCCTAGGCATTTGTATTTCTCTTTGCAATCTTTACCATATCTACCTGTTACCTGTACTGTATTTACCTGTAATTATTTACTTGATCTTTTTCTTTCTTTTGATGAGTATCTTAATTTTTAAAAGTGTATTTTATATTAATGCTTTAATATAAATGCTAGTTATAATATAAACACTAGTTATAAAATTTTCTAACACACAGTAATATAAACTCAACAAGATTTTAAAATGTTTGTCCATGTACTACCTAAAATCAGCCCCTGTGCCCTGTGGGTACACCTAAGGAAAAGTACACTATTTTTAAGTCTATAAAGAACCTTTGGGAACATTCTGTCCAGTGGCATTTAAACCATTTTGACCATGACCCTCTATACAGGGTGGTAGTCAAAACAGGGACTCTGAAGCCTGACTACCTGGGTTGGAAACTCAGCATTGCCTCTTAATGCCTGTGTCACTTTCACTGAGTGACTGGACCTCTCTGTGCCTCCATTTCCTCATCTGTAAAATGGGAATGACATTAATAGCATCTACTTCACAGGGTCATTGTGAAGAGAAGGAGTTAATATGTGTAAAGCCCTAGGAAGTGCTTTATAAAAGTTTGTTATTACCACAACCTTACACACACATCCATAAACATATATAAATGAAACAAAGTGTTCACACATGGAAAATTTACTCTTGCTACAGGAGATATAGTAGGATGTTTTCTATTATATTTTACTTCATTTTTTAAAATGTGGCCATCTTTGTGAAATTTCACTAATCTGTTTGTGATTAATAATTCATGTTCTTTTCTGTAGGAAACGCTATACTTCAAGGAAAATTTTTGTTTGTTTATGTAATCTCTACACCCAACATGGGGCTCAAATTCACAACCTTGAGATCAAGAGTCGCATGCACCCCTGAGTGAGCTAGCTGGGTGCCTCTAAAAATACTTTTTAAAATAGTACATTTTTATTAAAAGAAAAGGCAAGAAATGAAAGTGAAAGAATGAGCTGATTATGTGAACAGCAAATGTGCTGAAACTATTTTGTCCAGCATAGTGAGGGGACATTAACAGACTTGGGATCCCTAACAGCTTGGACACGCTGATCTATAATTTCTAATGAAGGCTGTTGAATTAAACTCTAGGAATAATGTATCTGCTTAAAATAAAAAAATATCTGCTTCAAAGTCTTTAAAAAAAATTACATATTAAAGCAAGAGTCAGCAAACTAAAACCTCTTGGTCAAATCTGGCCCACTGCCCATTTTTGTAAATAAAGTTTTATTGGAACACAGCCACATTCATTCATTTACATGTTGCCTATGGCTACTTACATGCAGCCAGGGTCCTATAACAGCAGAGCTGAGTACTTGCCACAGTTCCTGACCTGTGAAGCCCCAAACATTTCCCATCTGGCCTTTTACAGAAAAAGTTGGCCGATTCCTGTATTAAAGTTCCAATTCAAAGCCCTGAAGCTTAAATTAAATCTTATTCTATTTCTATCTTGTTCCATTCTGTTCATAACTCTGGCAAACTTTAACAGTTATATTTCCCCCAACATTGTACTTTGAAAAATGTCAAACCCACTAAAGATTGAAAGAATAGTACAGTGAACACGAACATATCCTTCACTGAGATTCACCAATTGGTAGGTAGCATTCTGTCACATTTGCTTCATCACTATGTGTGTATCCGCGTATTTTTTATTGAAATATTTGATGTTAAAAATTGTATATTCACATTTGCGATATATATATGACTGTGTGTGTGTACATGCATGTGTGTGCGTGTACATGTGTGTGCACGTGTGTGTGTGTGTGTGTGTGTGTGTGTGTGTGTGCATGACCCCAAGCCAGAGGTGGCCAGCTGTGTAGCAATAAATTCATGTTCCCCCTTCCATAGTTTATAGAGCTATTCCTGGAAAACAGCTGGCCTACTAGGGACCACACAACCCAGATTCCTCTGCATTTGGCCAAAGTCATGTGACTAATTCTGGCCAATGGAATGTGAGCAAAAATGATAAATGTCATTCTGAGTCAGGGCCACTTCTGGAATCCCTGGATGACTATGTGACAGAGGCAAATAAACTTCTAACTTACGTTTTGGGTTTGTTGCATCAGCTAGTGCTGCCCTGAATAATAAACCCAATAAGTTGCATGAGCCTTTAATGGGTCAGGATTGCAGCTTGAAACACACTGGTTCTCTGGCTTTCCAAAAATTTATGAACCATAAATTTTCCTTTCATCACATGTTTCATTCAAAGTCAAAATGGAGCTTCTCTGGTTGAACCAGAGGTTGTGGGTGGGGGAGGCTAGGAGCCTGGTTCATTTGAACACCCACATTGGCCTCAAAAGTGAACCCTGAGACATCCTTCTGGACTCCTAGGGCTCCAGTGAATAATGTATGATGACCCCTGAATAAGGAACATGCCTCCTTTTCTCAGAAGAGGAGGCAGAGACCCAACAGAAGGACTTGAGTGGGATCACAAAAAGCTGGCTGGGGCCAGAGCCATTTCCCACATCTGTGGCAAGGACAGGTCTGTGCCCACCATTTCCACGCCTCCCATCTGCTCCCACAGGCCTATGTGCATGATCTGAGCCCCCAAGAGCATACCCCCGCGACAGGCTCCAGAGGGTATCTGAAGGCTTGGAACTAAGCTTCGTTCTGACTCTCCACCCAGACAATTACATCCTGGAATGACCAGTTACATATCCCTCATTCATTTCAGTTTGTCTCACAGCAGCTAAAAGATGCCTAACACACAGTAAGCATTCCGTCCCTTTCACGTAGTGGGTATATACTCTGCAGATATTATGATAATAATTAAAATGTATACAGCACTTTCTATGAGCCAGACACTCCCCACGTTCCACATATAAACCTCCTGTGATTCTCACAGCAACCCTAGTAGGTTGAGGGTCTGACTCTTGATTTCGGCTCAGGTCATGATCGCAGGGTCATGGGATCAAGTCCCACATCAAGCTCTGTCTGAGAGTGGATCCTGCTTGAGATTCTCTCTCTCTCTCTCTCTCTCTCTCTCTCTCTCTCTCTCTCTCCCCTGCCTCCCAACTCACGGTCTCTCTCTAAAAAGTAAAGTTAGTGGTGCCTGGGTGGCTCAGTCGGTTAAGCATCTCACTTCGGCTCAGGTCATGATTTCGCGGTTTGTGAGTTCGAGCCCCGCACTGGGCTCTGTGCTGACAGCTCAGAGCCTGGAACCTGCCTCAGATTCTGTGTCTCCCTCTCTCTGCTCCTCCCCTGCTCACACTCTCTGTCTCTCAATAATAAATAAATAAATGTTAAAAAAATTTTTTTAAGTTAAAAAAAATAAATACATAGATGTAAAAAAATAAAAGGAAGAAAGCACTTCAAGTAACCAGAGTCCAGCCTGTTACATAGGAAGGGCTTAAATGGGGACAGATTTCTTTCTTCTTCCCAGGCCCACCCTCATGCAAGAGGAGTGTGAGTCAAAAAGAAAGGGAAGGCATAGTTCCTGCACGTAAGCATCTCAGAATCTTTCATGAAACAATCAGAGAAGTCCCAAAATACTTGCAGAGAAGAATGGACTGAGCTGCAGTCAAGTGTAAGTAAAATCTGTACAGATTAGGCCAGGCTCTAGGCCTTTGCATATGGTGTCCCCTCCCCTCTCTTCTCCTGGTTGATTCCTACTAAACCTCTGGGTTTTAGCTTAGATATCAGTCCACTCCTCCAGGGTCAGGAGGTCCCTGATCTCTTGCCCTCCTCCCAAGTTCCTTTGTGTCCCCATCATGCCCTGTCCATCCATATCCTGGCACTCTGTTTTCATTGTGGCTGGGCTGTCTTCCCCACCTGACTGGGTGCTCTCCAAGATCTGAAGCCACGTTTTATTCTCCTCCATTCCCCCAGTGCCTAACAGAATGCTTTGTTTTCCATAGGTCCTCAGTAGAGGTTTGTTGAAAAAGTGAATAAGTGAACAGTGACAGTGAATGCAGGAGCCTCCTGCGTAAAGACCGGACCCATTCTGGGTACCCATATCCTCCCTTTATAAAATGGCACAAAATAAGACAATGGTTTTCTATGCTGGATCCCAAATCACATAAGGACTTAATAAAAAATTAAAGATTCTTGGAACTCATCCCAGGAGATCCTGATTCACCAGGTCTGGGGTGGGGCCCCAAAATATGTCATTGATAAGGAGGTTTTCTATATGCAGTCAGGTTTGTGAACCAGTGAACCATAGAGGCTGAAATTAAGTTGAGGTGAAATGGGAAAAGATGTGGAGAGGTGAGAAAAGGGAAAACGGTGGGGGAGACTCTACATAGGGAAACCGCCATGCCTGACATCCGACACAGTCCTACAGTTGGCCAGCCTCTGGCATCCTACCCAACTTTGGGCCCATCAGCCCTTCAAGGAAATGAAGCATCTTCTAGTTTATGATACTTTTCTCCTTCCTTACCTCATCGAATCCTTACAAAAACCAACTTTCTTTGATGGAGGAAGAAATTCAGAATCAGATGGCGAAGCAAAGTGTCAACCACTTACACAGTTTTCGGTGGGAGTGCCATTTAACCAAACTGCCCCTGACAACAGCCTCTGATCTGGCCTGAGGCTCATGTCATTGGCCTAATTGATGTTTGTCGACCAGTGGCCAAAGCACCCAGTCTCCTTACTTGTTCTGTCCTCAGCACTTGCAGATTCTGCTAGCCCAGCCCAGCCCAGCCCAGGCTATATCATCCATCCAAACACCAATCCATCTGTGCCTCCACCCACACACCCAGCTAACCAATTGCTTATTCATCCACTTATCACATTCATCTACATATCTCTTCACCGTCCTATCCATCTACTTACCCATTTATCCATCATCCACCATACCCACCCATCCACTCACCCACCCAGACATCCATTCATTCATCCATCCATTTTCTGATTCATTCATTCATTCATTCATTCATTCATTCAATAAACCTCCCTCAAAGTCAATATAGGTCCAGGTCCTAGAGTTTCCTAGAATAAAACAACAAAGATCATACAAATACAGACCTTGCCCTCAAGGAGATTTGAAATGCTTACAAAAATGACAAACTACCAAAGGACCAAGACAGATAATTAAGGGAAGCTAAGGGGAACTTGTGAAAAGAAAAAGAATAGGAAAGGGTAAGAAAAGAATGAAGCCAGAAGTCTGGGTAGCATACAGATAAGCACACAATAGCATCTTATCCTCATAATTGCTAAGGGCAGCTCCAGATTTGCCTCTGAGCTAGACCCTGGCACCCGAAGCAAAAAACCACAGCAGAAAAGTCACAGGGATATTCAGTTGTGGCAGACATCATGCAGAAGCTATCCCTGCTTCCTTATACCACAGTAGTGTTATATGTGTCCAGGGCACATCGAGAAACATCTGGAGACATATTTGGTTGGCACAGCTGATGGGGGAAGAATGCTCCTGGCATCTGATGAGTCAAAGTCTGGAAAGCTGCTAAATATCCTACAATGCACAGGACAGCAGCCACAATAAAGAATCATCTGAGCCAAAATGTCAATAGTGCTGAAGCTGAGAGACCCTCTTATGAGAGAACCCCAATTTTGTTTGGAATAGCATCGTGCTAGACCTCAAGAAAACAGTATCGTTGGTTGAAGCCAGTCTTGGCTTTCCCATTTCTTTCCACTAGACCCTTGAATTCCCAGCTTTCTTTGAACCAGGGAAGTCTGCTGGGAGGTTTCTGGGGAAATTTTGCTTTTTGATCAAAGAAACAAGTACTTCAAGGAATATCCCCTCCAGCTTCAGGTGCTTGAGGGCAGACGTGATGCCCCGCACCATGCCAGCCACGTTGGGTCTGCACGGTGAGCATGGAGAGACAGGAAGGTAGAGCATGGGTCTGGCTGACATTGTTGACCGTTGTCATACAGTTGTTTCTTAAAACCTCCCTCAGTTCATGCATCCAACAGATGCTTACTGAGCATTTATTCTGTGCCAGTTGCTGTGTGAGACGTGCAAGGCTCGCAGAGTTTATAGTCGAGTGGGGGATACAGAGGCCACAACGCACACCAATGCTGTCTGATCAGAGTCATGATGAGAGCTACAAACCAGAAGCCAGTGTGCCATGAGTGTGTTGCAAGTCCAGGGGAAGGTCAAGTTCACCCAGCATCACCCCACCAAAGATCAGCTCCCTAAAGACTGTCCTCCTGGGGTTCAAAGATGTGAGACGGCAGCTGACATTTACTGCATGGTTGCCTTGTGTCAGGCACGACGCTGAGCACTTGTGTATTAACTCACGTGTGTTAACTCACGTTATCCTCTCCACAGCCTTGCCTGCCATTGCCCCTCCTGAGGCTCTGCTGTGGACCTCGTCCCTTCCCCTACAGCTTACCTCTGCAGTTGCAGCCTTTGGTGGGGGGGTTAGTATTATCCTGATTACAGAGCCTAGGAAAAGGGGTTCTCCTCAAAACACTCATTTCTTTTTTCAGAAGGTGCATTTTCCCTAGAGCTTCCTAGTTCATTCAACATGTGGGGCTCAGAGAGGGATAGGCCACACAGCTTTAAAAAATAAAGGAGGGGGCAGATCCAGGATGCTAACCCAGATTTACTTTATCTCGAAAGCAAGGTCTTTTAGCCACCATCACACACACACACACACACACACACACACACACACACACACAAATGCCCAGCTGTCCCAGGACAGCAATGTTCTTTTGTTGATGCTTGCTGCAAATCTGGCCATAGGAGCTCTCCTTTCTCTGCCCAGCCCAGATCTGTAGCTTAGTCAAGAGAGTCACAAAGGGACTGAAGTCAGATGATTTTTTTTTTTTTTAAAAACAATCCTGAGCTCTAGTTTTCTCTTCTATCCTTGGAGATAACAATATTATTATCTGGAACAGCTGTTGTAGGAGTTAAAGTAATAGGCATAGAACATCCATCCATCCAACCATCTATCCATCCAACCATCCAACAAATGTGTGTTGAACACTTGCTTTATGGTGAGCACTGCGTACAGGTCGGGATGAAGGGGCATGAGGCCACCCTACAAAGTACATAGACCTGGAATACAGTGAGAAGCTGTCAGGTTATATTATTATAGTACCCCCCTGGGAGAAATGTGGGGGGCCTTCTGTTCATCCCTAGCCTTGGCTTGTGGCCTGGGGCCCTCCTTCCACAGCAGCTGACTATCTGGTCCCTATGCAAGACACAGTCTTGTTCTGGCTACAGGGTCAACCAAGTCTTATAATTGTGTTTCAACCTTGGATGGAGCACCTAAGACATGCCTAGCCCTTCAACTGTGCTATCTCCTCTCACTGCACCACCCTCTGTGAGATAGGTCCATTTTCCAGGTGAGGAAATAGATTCAGAGAGGGGAAGTAACTTGCCCAAGGTCATACAGCTGGTATGGGATGGATCCCCAGGCTATTTTGGGTTCCTTAGCCTCTGCTCCTTCCACTACAGCACAAACTTCTGTTTGGTGGTAGGTCGAAGAAAGATCCCAGTGGACCAGTCAGGAGACCAGTCCTTGATTCCTTGAGGCCATCTGTCCTCAGCTAATGACAATATTAAACAATATTTGTTGAGTCCTTATCATGTGCCTGGTGCCTAGGGCTTACACCCTTGGTCTCCTTTAGTCCTCTGTGAGGGCCTGTAAGACATCCTATCTCCACTTCAAAGAGAAGGCAACTGAGGCACAGAAATGTTGAATAATTTGTCTAAAGTCACAGAACTAGAGCCTGGATTCCAGAGGCCAAACACTATGTGTGTTTGTGTGATTTAAATCTCTTAACAAAACGCACCTAATTTTTAAAAATCCAAAATGTGCAAGAAAAGGTTGAAAAAAAATTTATTGAACCTCCCTCCTCAGAAACACAACTCTGTTACCAGTCTCTTCCTGTCTGTCTACTGGCTTTCTATGCAAATACAAACGTGTGTGTACATATACATGCGAATATCCGTTCTGTTATCAGAAATGTAAAATGCTACACACAGTGCTTCGGTTTGTTTTTTTCACTAAGTGTAACCTGGAGGTCCCTCCCTATCTGCAAACAGATCTACATTTTTGCTCCTTCAACAATGGGCTAGCATTCCTTGCTAAAGATGCATCACGCTGTGTTTACCCATCCTCTACGTTTGCTGCGTTACCTCCAGTATGGAGTCACCCCAGCCACAGAGCCCAAGCTTTCACCTTTCAGTGACATGTTCTTCCCTGGCCTTGCACCTAAGTTTCATACATCTAGCAAGAGACCATTCTTTTCCGACGCCCCACGCCCCACGCTGTGTTGCTCGACTTGGCTTCCCTTTGGTGAATTATCCAGAGCTCATCAGAGCGGCCTGCCCCGCCCTCCCCCGGGGTCCCATCCCGCCTAGACCCTGAGCCAGCTCTGTGCTAGGCCCAGCAAGGCTCCGGTCGGCTTCCACTCGTCCCTGGTCCCTGGCAAATGGGTTGGTATTTCCAGCCCCGCCCTCTGTGGAATTTTGGAAAGACCCTTGGGACACGTGCCCAGGAAAGCAGTCTCTCTTGGCCGAGGCGAAAGGAGCAAGCCCCTGCGGGGGGGGGGGGGGGGGGGGCTCCTACGGCCCCTCCCAGCCCTTCCCAGACCAAATCTGCCATGCCTCTGGGACGTTAGCGAAGCAAGCCACATGCATCCCCTGAGGTTCCTGCCATTCTGGAGGAGGCCCTAGAGAGTCGTTGTGTTCCTCGGAAACACATAATGGGGCGTCCCATGGCCTCCCAAACTTGACCATGGTCCTGCCCTGTCCAGTCCTCCCCCCACCCGACCCTTGGTCCCACTCACCATAGGGACTCTCCACTGGAGCCCCGAGGGGCGCGTTCACACTGACCATGGCCGAGCCCACCCAGCCAAAGACGCGGGGGCATGGAGGAGCCGGGCCCCACACACAGCGGCAGCAGGCCACCGGGAGCCAGTCCACCAGGAAGGCAGTGAGTACAGCCAGCTGCCACCGCCTGGTTATCTTATTGATTCTTCTAATCACCCAAGGTGGGTGGATATGTTAAAGAGTAACCAGTCACTTAGGGAACCTGCGGCTGAGGACTGTCACTGTTACCATGGCAATGGCAACCTGGCCAGATCCGAGGTCCACTTGGGCCCCAGTCCTGCTCTCTGGGGTTGGGGGGCACCTGGAGCCAGATGTAGGGGACATCAGCCCCTCACCCCAACTTGAGGTAAGGGACTGGCCAGGAGGCGATGAGGAGGTGAGAGTCCAACCTGGGTTGGGTTTTATGGCTCCTCATAATGGGTGTGGCATTGTGGCAGGAGGGAGGGGTAGCAGAGAAAGGAGGGGAGTGGAGGACTGTATTATTGAGCACCTACTGGATGCTGGGAGTAGCACACAGGTATTGCCACATTTAAATTAAGCCTCTGTGAGGAAACTTGAGCCACAGAGAGACGTGGCCTGCCTGTAATCTCACAGCTGGTGACAGAGGAGTTGGGTCAGCATTATAAACCACAGTCTCCCCTTCATCGAATATATATTTACTGAGCACCCACTGTATACCAGGTCCTGTGCTAGACTCCAGGGATACAGAAACAAGCAAAGCAGGCATCAGCCCTGCACCCATGGAACTTGTGGACGACTGGGGGAGATGGGCATTCATCAGACGATAGTAAAGATTATTCAAAGATATTATGACACAGACCTGATTACAAACCGGTGAGTGTGTTGAGGGACGGAGAAACACAAACCAAATGTCAGACTCTGCCCACCCCCTCTCCTGGTCCACTGGTCTCCTTCTTACTCAAAAGGCAACTACTGCTGAAATCTGCATTCTGTTCTCTGACGGCAGAACCCTCCTGCATCTCAGCTCTCTTGCATGCACACCTGCTCCCTGGCTTCTTTTGGAGCAGTCCCTTTTCTTTTGTCCCAGCACTGTGCCCAGTGGCTTGATTTGGGATTCTGAAATCACCAGCTTCGACAGACCCCTCCATGCCACCCTGAGCTTCTATACTGTTTCCTTTATCCTGGCTTGTCTAGTCTCTACCTCTATTTCCAATCTTTTTTTTTTTTTAATGTTTATTTATTTTTGAGAGACAGCAAGTGTGAGGGTGCGGTGAGGGGGGACAGAGAATCCGAAGCGGGCTCTGTGAGGTCAGTGCAGAGCCAGCCCGACATGAGGCTGGAACTCACAAACCGCGAGATCATGACCTGAGCTGAAATCGAGAGTCAGACGCTTAACCGAGTGAGCCACCCAGGCGCCCCTCTGTTTCCAATCTTTTCACTCCTCGCAACTTTTCCTTTCTCATCCTCAGCAGGACGAGACTACCTCTGCACAGAGAAGAAGCCTTAAACCTGGACATGCCCAAATGCCTCACCCAAATTCACCTGCACCTCCTTCACCCAGATCCACCTGGTCTGCACCTGCCTCTTCCCCCTGCTCAGGAACCCCCCGTGAGCCCATGGGGTTTCTCCTACATATTTGACCTCTCCCTCTTTAGACTTTTAAAATCAACTTTCTGTTGAAAGTATAATTTACATATAATCAAATGCACTCTTTTTAGGTACACAGTTTCATGAGCTTCGATAAGTGTATGAACCCATACAGAACATTTCCACGACCCCCCAAAACTTCTCTTTGTTCCCCTGCTGTTAATCCTCCAGCACCTCCCCCTCCACGCAACACTGACCTGCTTTCTGTCACTCTACATTAGATTTGTCTTTTCTAGAATATCATAGAAATAGAATCAGACAGCATTTACTCTTTTGTGTCTGGCTTCCTTTGCTCAGAATGTTGGTGAGGTTCACCCACATTCAGGTCCCTTGGTACTACCTCCGTATTCCACTGAATAGATACTCTGTAACTGGTTCACCCAGTCACAGGCATTGAAGTTGTTGCCAGTCTGGGGCTATTGTGAATTACACAGCTACATATGGTCATGAACAAGCCTTCCTGAAGGCATATGTTTTCATTCCCTTGGTTAAATTTCCAGGAAAGGAATTGCTGGTTGATCAGTTAGGTGTGTGTTTAATTTATAAGAAACTCTCAAACTCTCAAACTCACCGAAGTGATCAGACTTTTGTATGAATACCATTTTGTAGTCCTGCCAGTGGGGTAAGAGAGCTCCTGTTTGCTCTATACCCTTATCGCTGTTTATTGTTGTCAGTCTTTTTAACTTTAACCATGTGAGATGATCTTTCCTTTTGCTTTCACTTGTTTTAAACTAGTTTTTTTTTTTAATGAAAAAAGTAATACGTTAGCATATTAAAAATGAAAATTGTGCAGGGGCGCCTGGGTGGCTCAGTCGGTTGAGCGTCCAACTTTGGCTCAGGTCATGATCTCGCGGTTCATGGGTTCAAGCCCCACACTGGGCTCTGCGCTGACAGCTCTGAGCCTGGAGCCTGCTTCCAGTTCTGTTTCCCTCTCTCTCTGCTCCTCCCCTGCTCACACTCTGTCTGTCTCTTAAAAATAAATCAACGTTAAAAGAAATATAAAAGAAAAAGAAAATTGTGCGAACAGCATATGATGAACAATAAGCCCATCTCCTATAATACAAATTCTTGTTTATATTCCCAGAAATTAAACATATACACACGTACACACTGCTGTGGACTGAATTGTATCCTCCCCAATTCCTATGTTGAAGCCCTAACCTCCCAATGTGATGGTATTTGAAGATAAGACCTTTAGGAAGTAAGTAAGGTTAAATGAGGTCATAAGGGTGGGGTCTTGCTTTGATAGGATAAGTGTCCTTCCAAGACTGTGGGAGGACACAGTGAGAAGGTGGCTATCTGCAAGCCAGAAAGACCGTTTTCCCCAGAACCCAAGTATTCTGGCTCCTGGATCTCGGACTTCCTGTCTCCAGAACCATGAGAAATAGTTTTCTGTTGTTTAAGCCACCTGACCTATGGTATTTTGTTATGGTAGCCCAAGCTGACTATTGCATAGACACAAATGTAAATGCATAAAATGCACGGGAACGTGTTAAACACACTCTAATGCCACTTGCTCCTTTCCCTGCTTGGTATCTAAGGGCTGTGTCCGTCCTGGCATACCTACCTCATTCACTTGAGTATTGATCCAGTTGTGTGAGTGTCCTATAATTGATTTGACTAGTGTCCTCTTGCTGGACATTTAGGATGTTTCCAGGCTTTTGTCACTACAAACAGTGAATGTCTTCCTGCACAGGTCTTGAGCCGCATGTGGGGAGTATATCTCTAGGAAATTTCTAGAAGCAGAATCCTATCAATATTGAAATATGCTATAATATCTCTTTTATTAAAAAAAAAAAAAAGCCTTCCAGGGCACCTGGGTGACTCAGTCGGTTAAGTGTCTGACTTTGGCTCAGGTCATGATGTCACGATTTGTGAGTTCAGGCCCCACGTGGGGCTCTGTGCTGACAGCTCAGAGCCTGGAGCCTGCTTTGGATTCTGTGTCTCCCTCTCTTTCTGCCCCTCCCCTGCTCGTGCTCTGTCTCTCTCTGTCTCTCAAAAAATAAAATGTTAAAAAAAATTTTTTAATAAATAAATAAATAAATAATCCTCCCTTAATAACTTCCTTCCCATCTCTGCCACTGTATCACCTTTCTCCTCCCTTCACTGCTGAACTTTCAAAATAGTCGCCTATACCAGGGCTCTCTTTTTTCCCCATCTCCTGTGGCACAGCCCACTTCAGTCTGGTTTCTGTTCCAACTGCCCCCTACACACACACACACACACACACACACACACACACACACAGAGTCTTCCTTGGTGGAAGAGATGATTTCTTACTGAAGCATTCAAAGGACATTTGGCAGCATTTGACAGTTGACTCCTCTTCCGTTAGCATCCACACTACTATAGTTTTCTGGATTCCTTCCTTCTTGACTGTCTCTTGACATTTCATGCTTCTCAACCTGTCTTTAAATACTAAAGTTACTTGGAGCTTAATTCTAGATTTACTTCTTGTTTTTCATTCTGTTATCTCTCCTCCCATAATCATATCCATTACCATGGCCTCAAGGCCAACTGTATACTCATGACTCCCAATTATGTATCTTCAACCTAAATTTCTCCTCTGGAGGCCAGATTCATATATCCAACTGGCCTCATCTATCTCCTAGATATCTCCACTGGTATGTTTCACAATCTCAAATATGATATGCCCCTATCATTGCACTCCTGGTCTTCACTTCCATCGAAACTCCTTCCCCTAAATTCCCCGTCTTGATAAAATGGCACCCTTCTCTACTCCACTTTCTTCACACCCGCACCCAACCACTACAAAATCCCCCTGCATTCCACTTAAACATCTCACAAAGGCATCCACTTCTCCCTGTCTCCAGTGCCATCATCTTGGTAGGAGTCATCCTCATTTCTCACCTAGATGATTGAAATAGCCTTTCACCCAGATCCCAGGATCCATTCTGACCCTGTCAAGTCTATTCCCCTTGAATGCAGCCAGAATTATCTTTTCAAATGCAAATCTGACATGTCTTCCCACTGTTAGAATCTTGTGGTGCCTCCCCCTTGTCCTTGAGTGAAGCTCCAAGATTGTGCCTGACTTGGCCCCTGCCTCTCTTCCCAGGATCAGTTCATTCCCTTTCCCTCTCATCCAGCCGGCGTCTTTTAGAACCTGACAAAGCCCTGTGCTCTCTCCCCTAGCTTCCTGCCCCCTTGTCCTTATGGGAGCCTGTAATTCCCTGTTCTTCTCCCAGATGGCACTTACTTCCATTACAATAAAGTATTTGTATTCATCTTCTGTTTAATGCCTCCCTGTCACACTGGAATTACAAGCTCTAGGAGCCTGGGAACATTATAGGTCTCAGGGGTCAATAAACATTTTCTATAAAGGGCCACAGAGTAAATATTTTGAGTTTTAGATATGCGGTCTCTTGCAACTACTCCTGTCTGCTGTGGGAGCATGAAATCAGCCATAGCCAATATAAAAACAAATGAGCTTGGTTGTGTTCTAATAAAACTTTATTTATAAAAACAGGCAGTGGGCCGGATATGGCTTGTGAGCCATAGTTTGTCCACCTTGATCTGTATATTAGTGACCACTGTGCTCAGAGCTGACACTTTTATAGTACTTACTATATACCAAACACTGTTCTAGGTGCTGTCCATGTATTCATTCATTTAATGTTTTGAAGGACCTCATGAGGCAGATACTATTAGTGTCCCCATTTACAGATGAGACGGGCACTGAGAGCTCACAGTAATCTACCCAAGCACACTTAGCTCTGAAGTTAAATTTGAGCCTCGGCAATCAGGCTCCAGAGTCTATGCTCTTAACAATCTCAGCTGGCGAATGAGCAACCAAATGAGGTTGGGGTATGAAAATCTTCAAAAAGTAAAATCCTACAGAGGCTTCAATGTTCCTGCAGATTTCTTGCAGGAGAAAGTGGGAAGCACTGTTGCCCTTCAGTGGGAACAGCAAAGTAACAAACCAGGATGCTATGGCAACTCCTCTCAGCCTGAGCCCTCACCCTGGGTCTGCAGGGTCCAGGGCTTGGCTGGCATCAGCAAGCCCAACCTGCTCATTTCTTGGTCAGCGTGGGCTCTGCTCAAGGGCAGTTTCATGAGAGGGAAGCCCCAGAGGTCACCTGGAATTCCCGCCCCTACAATGTCACTTTTTGCTTAATTGTCCCTACCTTTGTCCAATCTCTGAGTTTCTCCCTTCTTAGCTGAGAAGCAGAGAGCAAATGGGTTAAGACATTGGGGTTTTGAGTCACATAGAACATATTCAAATCCAGCTTCTTTAGCCTCAGTTTTTATGTCTGTAAAGGGCAGATGGGAACAGCACTTATCACTTAAGATAGCTGTGATAATTCAATGAGGTTGAGAGGGGACTAAACAGTTCATAGATGCCAGTGATTGTCCTTGCCATTCTGGTACTTCGGACACAGGAAGGCAATGTCAAAACAACACAGGCTTTGAGAGCAGATGAAGCTGAATTCAAATCCTACATCTGCTCCCTACTAGCTATATAACCTTGTGCATACCTTTTAATTCAGGGGATCTCATGCCACTTAAATTTCCAGAACATTTTGGGAAATTGGCATAGGGTGGCAAGCCTTTCCCCCCCAACATAAGGACGTTAATAATTTTTTTAAGTTTATTTATTTCTTTGAGAGAGACAGACACAGCATGAATGGGGGAGAGGCAGAGAGAGAGAGAGAGAGAGAGAGAGAGAGAGAGAGAATCCCAAGCAGGCTTCACACTGTCAGCACAAAGCCTGATGCGGGACTTGAACTCATGAACTGTGAGATCATGACCTGAGCTGAAACCAAGAGTTGAGTGCTTAACTGACTGAGCCACCCAGGCGCCCCAATATTTTTTTTAAAAAACTAACATTTATCATCACCACTGTTTTACAAATGAAAATACTCCATCCCAAAAAAAAAAAAAAAAAGTAGGAAGGATATAATCTGCGAATAATAAACTCACAACAGTGTATTTGTTTCCCGCATTTGGAAACGGGCACTCATCCTAAGCCTCACTTTTCCCACCAGTAAAATGGAACAGTAATACATACACATGCAGTTGCACGCTGATCTATTTGTCGTGCCTGGCACAAAACAGGGGCTGAGGGGCCGTTAGCCCCCTCTCCTGGTCTTCCTCTGGAGCTGGTTTTGCCCTCACTCCATCTCCCCCTCCTCAATTCCCTTCCTTCCTTTTTTGACCCCTTCTGAGACCTAAGAGAAGGAGGAACCAGAAAGAGCCACCACATCAGATCTCAAAGGACTTTACTGGGGGCCCGAGACAGAGGGTGGAGAGGTGTTGGCATGCACAGGTCGTGGCCTAGGTGGGAATGACCAGTGGGAAGAAAACTCACTCCATTCAGCGCGATGTAAGGAGTCTAGGGAAAGGGGCTGTTTTTCCATCAGGTCTTTGAATGGAGTGTTCTCTGGTCAGGCAGGGAGTGGTCCCCAGCTGGAGGGCAAGGTCTGTGGGGGAGATTTTACTATCTCTGGAAACAAAAGGACTTTTGTGTGTTATGATATCTGGGTGGAGTGGGGCGGGGAGAGGGGAAATGGTTTATGGGAATGAGAATGAGGCTCTATGGGATGTGGGGGAGAGAGAGATAGACAGACCAACATGTGGAGTGGTAGAGAAAAAGACAGGCTCAGAAGAAGACAATTCTCTCAGGCGGCATGGGCTGAGCTTTGGTTTTGCACTCCATCTGGGCACTCAGAAAGGAGTCA